ATAATAAACAATTATTAATTTATTTAATCAACTTTGTTATTTCTAATTTAACGATAATAAATTATTCAAGAATGATTGGTTGACCTGAATTTTTATCAGGTCGGGTCGGGTCGGTTCGACCTGTTGACCCGATCTGATTCGGAGCTCTAGTCTAGATAATGGAATTTTCCTTATTGAAGTATGGTACCGGAAATTGTTATTCCAGAAAGGATACGAAAAATTAAGGAATTCATTAATCAAGCATCCAAAAGTTTCGATCTCCTATAATCAATAACCTTAATATATGTAATTCTACAGATAAGTATCGCAAAATCGATCGATATTTGTGTGACCTAGACCGATTAATATACCGTTAAAATCACGTGAGTGGTGATTTATCTACCGCTAGGAACAGTCTTATCTACGCAGTACGTGTTTTTTCTTCATATTTTAAATGTCTGGTCTAGTTGCGAGAATTTTTCGCCCTGCATTACGTACTCTCCAGCCAAAAACCTTTTTCCTAACTTCACAAAAAAGATTTAGAAAAGACGAGCCTGTATATGACTTCCCTCCTACTGATGATTTGGGTAGATTTTTCCCTAAATATGCGTCTAAGTTCACTAAACGACATGCTGATGCACTGCGAGTGAGTTTTGAGCCAGTTGATAAGTACGAAGTTATACCTGATGTTAAAGGTACAAATTACATTATTACATATTGTTAACAAATCTCCTAGTATAACAAATAACTTAAATATTGTCTAGTCACCATTCCAGAACGTTACGTTCTCCCCGAGGTCAATCACGATTTGCTTGCCTCTAAAGATTCAATGTTGAAAGTCTCGAAATTGAGGATGACCGTGTCAAAACATTTGTCGATAAACTGCATGATGTTGTCAAGAATTCGGGTCTCGATACAGGCACAAGCGAATCTACAACTGATACACTAGTAAACGATCTGCTACTTCATGTAGTCAACTTGGATGCTTGGCCCTTTAAAGTTAGGTGGGTAATCTAACCATGTTGTTTGTGTGGTGCCTTCAATACTTCTAAATTTTCTTATTTTAAATCCCAGAATTAAACCACCCCTTAAACTAATCACGAGTAATGAGTCTGTGTCAGCAGAACCTGAATTTGTGGTTAATAAGAAAAAAATTGCTTTGATAGGTGTAGTGGTATTATTTATGTTTTGATTTTTGATAAATTTAAATTATTATAATTCATAAAGACAACTTTTTAAACAGGATAAACACTTGAAAATAAAAAAATCTACCCCGCGACTGGTTTTGGAGAATGGCAAATCGCTGCCGAAATGCTTGCCTGCGGATATGAGAATATGATTAATAATTACGTTGATCAAGAACTTTTTGCCTTCCGTGTCATTTCTACCTATGTTACATTTTACCGAGCTGAAATTCCCATATTATATTGGGAGGAACTTAGTGAACAACTGCCAAAAGTGCAGTCAATCGTGATTAAAAGGTGGCCAAAGGAAAATGGTAAAGAGACTGGTCTAAATCTTGCTGAACCAGATGAAAGAAAGGCGGTGATAACGGATCTTATCAAAATCCGTCAACGTCTTTTGAAATAGATTATAGTAGATTATAGGATTAATTTAGCAATATTTTATTTCAGTAATGTGGGATAGGTTTATAGATTATATCTTCCGAAATCTTGGGTTGAGGAAGATTTATTTTTTTCGTATTACATTACACTACTATTAATAAAAAATTTTCTTGGCAAAAAGTGCGTGAATTTTTTTCACGCTGTCACATGATTTTTATTTTTCTTGGAGTAATGCGATTTTATTACTTAAACATAACATAAATATAATAAATTCGCCACTAGAATGGATCGTATTATATGTACTACATTAAATGATTTTAGAGAATCCTGGCCGGATATAGATACTTCTGTATGGGATATTTTAGCCGGAAGAATTCGTGAATTGCTTTTATGCCCAGAATGCCACGAACCTATTTTCACCAATCCGCAACAAAAAAATATTACTATTCTTACAGATAGACGCATGATTCATAGTGTTTGTCTTGAATGTCCTGCTACTAAAGCCGAAGAAAGGAATGATGTTTCTCAGATAAAAGCTTCACAGGATACTAAACCCTCTGATATGATTGAAGCGCCTATTATAAAAGAACAAGAAGCCTTAGAACCTATTTCTTATCCGGAAAATAGTACTTTACATAATAACTCACAAAATGACCCGGGATCGCGTTCTCGAAAAAACCACCCGCCCCTTGAAACCAGTTCCATTGAGAATGATTTAATATCTGACTCTGATATCAAACAGCAAACTCAAGACATTACTAATTTGCAGGATGTGTGTTCTATTTAAGATATTTCTTCCGAGAAAGCTCCATTGGAGGATAGAGAGATGGATGCTTTCTTGGACGGAGAATACAAGAAAAAGGTTAGTAATGAAATCAGGCAAAGAAATAGGGAAAAAAAGCTTCAAGACTTGGATTTACCTGGTACTTCTGATATCCCTTCGTCAGAATCATCCACAAGTTCGCATCCTATCTCTAATAACCCTGTCTTATCAGAACAAAATGCTAAAATAAAAGCACCTGAAATAGATATACAGCCTTTGATACAAGAATTGCTTATAGAACCTTCGGAAGAAGATTGTGTTAAGGTTGTTAATGTGGTGAAGAGTACTGCTGTTGATCAATCGCCTGCAATCGAATTAGCCTATCTATATGAAAAAATGAAATTTGCTGAAATTAGGACTATACAAGCCAAACAATATGAAATCATGAGCTGGTATTGCTATAGAAAGTATTTGAAAAAAGACATAGTGAGATTTTACCTGAAATCCCAAAGAAGGGACTTATTACGAATAAAAAAGCCTATGAACTTGCGAGTAGGCAGATTTATGATAAAATGCTACAATATCTTTCAGAAGTCTGTCGTGTAAACTTGCGCAAAAAAACCCAGTTAACTAAGCCTATATATATGTTGTTCAGCGAAATTGGAGAAGATTATGCGAATCAAATCTTATAGCGCAAATAAACTCTCAAAGTTAACTGACGTGCAAATCAATATCATTAAAATCATACTGTGTGAAAAAATTCACGCACTCACGTGACTTCAAAAATGATCACTAGTGATACTACTGCTCTGATCACATCTGTGGTAAGCGTACCTATTCCTTTAATACACGTCTCTAATTTTTTAAGTAATTCCAAAGGAATCAGTCCAGACTATTTGTTCAAAGCTGAAGTGAGTATACCATCAAAGTTTCTAATGACTAATGGTAAAAAATCCAAAGCACCTCTAAAGCGAACATAAAGTGATCAACTCATTTTACTCAAGAAGAATCTACTGAAAAAAATGCGTGAAGATGTTATGAATTCGGTGGTAAATCAGCTTAATGTGTCAAAGTTAAAAGTAAACTTCAGTATAGATAGGGAAGGCGAGCATCAAATGGATTGCTATACGATCTTTGATTTACCCTCACGTTATTTCGCAAGAACCTATTCTATATGTGTCAAAACTCATTGGTACTTGAATAGCAAATGGTAGATCGACAGACAAGGCAATAAAAGATATTATTTGAAATATGATAATATCAAAGAGCCTGGAATCCTGCTTAATGAGGTTTTAGAAGTGTATTCTAAGAACTTTGATCTAACTCAGCCTATTTCTTGAGGTCATGTCCTTATGCTTCCAATAACAGTAAAGGCATGAAATTTCGTTATGTGAGATAAATCACCTGCTTAATGTAAATGCGCAGAAGATATTGGTAAAATTCTTGCTGAAGAATAGGGACTGTGCGACGTGCAAATCGCATATATATTTTGCATTATTTTTTTTTTGACTCGATTTGCAATTTCGTTATATCGTTCATGCTACTATCATACTAACAAAATAATATTCAAATATAGGTATTTTTTTTGGAGTAATCAATATTTTGCATATGGGAATTGGGGATATCTATGTTAATCATTCGTTATCTCAGTTAAGATTTTCAAGAGAGAAGCTTTTCTATTATTTCTATACATTAATCCCTAGCGCCAAAAAAATATTTCACAAAACAGTTGGCTTATATTCCGCAATACCAAAGATACAAGGGAAGTGATTTGTATGAGGGTAGTTCTAAAAGGACTGGATTAACAAAGTGATGAAATGCAATGCGTAATTGCTAATGAAGATCCAGAGATGCTTTTTTCCGCTGAATTTACAAATGCTATAAAAATAGATCAGATGAATTGTGCTGACAAGAAGTATTGGCAAAGCTAATATATCCAATATATTAGGCTCAACACAAGCAAGACACTGAGAAAAAAAGGCAAAATTCCAAAATCTGGCGAATTGTCTTTTAACAATCATATGAAGCTTGCTTATAATATCTTAAAAAATCTCAAAGATTATATCGTCATGAATAAAGAAATTCCAGAGCTAGACCAATATTCAGAATGTAATAATGAAATTTTAACATAATCTCTGAAGGCAATTACTATCCTCAGCTGTGGCCAGGATATGCATTGAAAAAAAGCTTCTACTAACCATGTTGAATATATGTCCATTTTCTGATTGTAAAAAGAATGTTGATATCATAGAACTATTTTCTACTACTAATCAAGAGTCACCAATTTTAGTTTTATCCAATATGATGAGTGAAAGGTTTATCCTATCTTCACCAACCATATGGATGAAAGGAATTGAAAATATAGAATTTCAACAAGCCAGAAGTTATTTAAGATATGCCAAATGTTCTGAAGACCTTTCCTTGTGTCTTCCACCATAGGCTTTCTTTAAATCCCTTCTCAAGCTCTACCTTAAGCTTTCTCAAAACCACTTGTATACTTAACCTGCAAGCATATTGTACATTACTATTACATTGACAATCCATGTAAACTGTGCCCTATCTGTCTATCGGCCAATGATATAGAATAGTGCAAAGAAAAAGAAGAAATAGACGTGAATGAGGAAGAGAATGATGAGGATGAAGAAGTTGAAACAGTTTCTTTAGAATTGACTAAATCTGAGAAAATCCTCTCTAGCGGTAAAGGTAAGAAGAGGGTTAATAATGCTACAGAATCTTTAACCAGTAAGAAATCTAAGAAACATGTTCAGCTAGAGGATTCTAATATTTTAAATAAACTATTCAGGAGCTATCTTCTGATACTACTCGACTTTCTAAAATTAAGGAAAGGAGAGGATTCCAAAAAGAAGCTGTACTGGAAGTTAAAATTGATCAAACTCTTTTTAACCTATATTTAAAAATTTCAATGCTGAGGAATAAAAAAAAAAGACATACTATAAACTTATTAGAATATATTATTACTATGAAAAAGAGTTAGAAAAATGTCTTATCTACTATAGAAGTTCTTACACGAAATATAAAGTCCTAAAGAAGCTCTATAATGAGATTAAAAATTAGCTTCCAAAAGAAGTTACAAAAAATGCTTTCTGAAAGAAATCAGACAGGGTGAGGAAAGTTTATGATTTTTTTTTCATATTACTAATGATAAGATTCAATGGATAGTGTTAATTTAACGAATAAAAATAGTTTTCAATAATAACTATTTCAAATTTAAGTGATGATGATATCAAATATATTGCATTTCATATTAAAAAAATAATGTGATTCTGTATAATACCATGTATAGCTAGATCTAGTGTTGAGAAGGCGAGAAGACATGCTGATCATCTCATGATTTATAAAAAGAACACTTTTAAAATTATCGAGAAACTGGTAGAAATCTTATATAATACAAATTTTATGGTAGCTAAAGGTGTTGTGTATTAGTTTAGCTGAGCATGATGATTAAATCTAATTTAGCCAAATCAGTTTTGAATAAAATAAATCTGATATTTATTAGAGTATAATATTGATAAATCAGCTAAAATCGCTAAAAATACTATAAATCAATAAAATCGTTATATTCTATTATAATCTAGCAAAATGCTAATATGAATTTAGATAGTAGAACCTATTTTAAGCTAAATCATGTAAGCTATAGTGATGAAAACTTTGAAAAATATGGAAGAATAATTGATGCAATATAGCCTTTAACAAAAAGACGTGATCATGAAATACCAGAAATGTGATGCTCTCGTATCTGTGATCCATTTAGGAAAATATTTGAAGAGAATCCAAGAATCCTTTCTAAGAATGGATATATTGTAATATGTGGAAAGTTTTATGAAAATAAAAAAGTTCACACTAGTCAACCAACCGATTATATTTATTGTAGTATATGTGACTCCTTAGTTTTCATATCTAGAACTGGCTATAACCCTTGTATCTATCATGATAGCTAATTGAAGAGATGTATTTCTGAAAATACTATTTTGAATGATCATGCAAGAAGAAAAAAAATTCTTCAATCTATTGATAAAAGAGAATTTCAGATCTGGCAATATAAACAATACATATTAAAAGAAGAGGTTAAAATTAATCGTCTTTGTCTAGAACTTTTCTCCTAATCTACCTCACACTCAGAAAAGGAAAAGTTAGCATCAGTATCATATGATCATGATGCGAATTTTATAGCTAGCTATGAAAATTATGCATAATCTAAAGTAACTGTAGCAAAAAATACTATGCCAAGTACTCCAAATTTTGAACCAGCTTATATTTCACCTACTAAGTAACGTAGTGCAAGTACATCTGAGATTAGAAATCTTTGGAACAATTGATCAAATATGCTTAATATTTTTAGTAGGACTACTTTAGATGATCTTGTTAAAGCATATTTCAATTCTGTGCGAACAAATGCAGAAAGAAAATAGACTTAATATCTTTCAACCAAATATTAGCATTATTTATCTTAATTATATTTAGCTAAACATAGCTTATACTTTATTTTTTTACGAAATGATAGCTATATAATCTGCATGCATGATTATCTAATAAAATTAGTTGAAGATGCTATGTATAAAATGTATCACCTGCCAAATTTTTCAGATCAGTCCTTAACCCAGATCCCAAATATTGTCTTAATAAAATAATATATTGTTTAGTCACAATGCATGTAAGCATATGTAACATAAATTAGCATATTTTCAATTCTCATTAAAGTGTATATGATGTAATAAGTGATATATTACAAATAATCTGTAACTCTGTGTGACTTTTGCTTGTACAATAAATTAATTTTCACATATAAAAAATCGATCTCTAAAATATTTTAAATTTTTCTCTTACAATATTTAGTAGAATAACATTTATTGATATATATATTTACTCTAGAGGAATAGACTCTCTGACATCACCGATTCTGAGCAGAATATATTTATATAACATTATTGGATTTTAGTATTAACTATTAAGTAGTCAGGCAAGCAAAAAAAAAGTTCATATATGTATTATCTCTAATACCTTTGAAAATGTCAAAATCTTCAATGTAAATTCCGCATGCTTTTATTCTCTAACACAAAATTTTAACGTAAAAGTCATTGCATATTCTTATGTTTTGACCCTAATGTGAACTCAGACTCAAAGAGATATAAATGAGAAAATTACAAAATATTTAAGAGGGTAGTATACAAATTTTGCTTTCTGCGTTATCTTAATATATTAACCTTACATTAACATTATACTAATATTATTCTGAATTAACAATGCAAACATAATTGCATTATATGATTTTATTTGCAATTTTCTTCATATTGCATTACCTGAACATATAATCGCATTTTCAGTAATTTATCAAGCAATAAATGAAGAGCCTTGGATTGTAAAGAAAAATTTAAGGCAAATATTTCATCAAGCAATTACATCCATTATCCCTTCATATCATCAAATTCAGAAAAATATTAGAAGCTTATGAGCTTACTCTTAAAGATTAGTAATTAATTTTTTTTGGTAAAAAAACTTAACACTATATGATAAATAGCGCAAAATATAACCTAATAACTGGAGTGAAGTTGTATCCAAAGCTATACAAGCTCTGATTTGATTATTAAATGTATTAATCTACAGACATATGGGGGTATTTCTTTACGTATAGTTTGAGATAAAAGCATATGTCATATCATTTATCATCTATGTACTAGCCACACATGACTGATAATTTTACATGATAAAATCTGACGTGTGCATACACAATTTGGAATAATTATTTATAATGATTAGATCTAACATTTTTTTTATTCTGTGCTAGTTTGATGATACTTATGAAAGAATATGCAGTTTTCAGAATTTTGAGATTGATAGACAGAAAGAAGAATTATCAGATGAGACTATCAAAAATAATTTGCGAATATTGAAAGGGAATCTTAAAAGAAGCAAATCTTAATATGCCAAAATTTTGCGAAAGAGTATAGGTAAGATTAAATTCTTAGAACTTTCATGGTATGATCCACTTGCGAGTTAGGTTTTTAGTAGTGAGATGGAGATGGTTAAGCAATTACTAAAAGAAGAATACGAATCTTTCATGGTAAGAAAAAAATATCACAATTTATAGAACAAAAAATAATGTTTGAAATAATATTACAAGGAACTGGTGAAATATATGTAAGTGTCTCTTTCTAACTCGATCAAAATAACTATGATAATGGTTCTATGAAAATAC